AACATACATTAATGATCTTCCGAAAGCCTCAAACAAACCTGATGTCATAATGTTTGCAGATGACACTAATTTATTTTATTCATCGCCGTCAATTACAGAACTTTTTGAAACAACAAATATTGAACTCGAAAAACTTAATATTTGGCTAAAATCTAATAAACTATCTTTAAACACAGAAAAAACTAATTACATCTTATTCCATCCAAATCAAAAAAGAAAAAAAACTACCAAATATATTGCCATCGGTAAGAATAAAAAACAAAAATATCGAAAGAACCACAACAACTAAATTTCTAGGTTTACTTATTGATCAAAATATTTCATGGAAAGCCCATATTGACTATTTAAATACTAAAATAACCAAAAACATTGACGTGCTATACAAAGCTAGACCAATGTTATCCCAAGAAAATCTAAAACATCTTCATTTTTCATTTATACATACCTATTATACATATGGTAATATAGCATGGGCCAGTACCCATAAATCTAATTTAAAATCACTTTATCAACATCAAAAACATGCCATTAGAATTGTCTATAAAAAAGATAAACTCACTCATGTGAACCTTTGTTTAAACTCCTAAATGCACTAAACGTCTATAGAATTAACATTTACCAAAACTTACTCTTCATGTTAAAATTTAAACTCGGGCTTGTCCCACCACATTTCTTAAGTGAATTCTTTAAAAGCAATAAAATTAGATATGACACTAAAGAAGTAGGAAACTTTAATGTACCGTTCAGAAAAACAAAACTGTCGCGTTTCACAATTTCATATCGCGATCCCTATCTCTATAATAAACTGATATCCAAAAATGCCATTATTACAATATTAAATAACATAAACTGTTTGAAAATTTTACTAAAAAAGTTTGTTTTAAATATCAACAATTATTTGAACTTACACTAAACTAAAACTGAAAGTAAAACTAAAATTATAATTGAAAACAAAATCCAAAAAAAACTTTAATAATATATATTAGTATAAAAAATCAATATAAGTCAATAATAATTATATTTATGCCTAATAATATATTTATATGTATTATGTGTACTACAAACAGCATTTACCAACTTTTTTATTTTTACATTTTATTATATGTGAACCTAATATAAAATGAAGTATTTTGTAAAACTAAATACATTGTAAAACGAAAATACAAAAAATATTACAATTTCAAGCGGTTTCTTGATGATAAGACCATCTGGTCTTCTGCAAGTTTCCCGCGTTCTTTTAATAATAATGATACCCTACAATCATATTTTTTGTATTTTATAAAATTGTGATATATTTTTAGTATTATATATTTTAAAAACATTATAACATTGTACCAGTCATGTAGAATCACAACATTTCTTTCTCATTTTAAGTTTTTCAATAATATCTTTGGCATAAGAAAATAAACGAACTCTTACAAATAATGTAATTAAATGCTCTAGCAAATTCTTACTAACTTCGGTTGATTCTGGATCATTGCAAACTTGTTTATAAATAGATAAAACAATATAAATTGTTGACATTGACTCAATTAGAACTTCAGGATCTAGTTTTGAAGAAATTTGTGTTGTTTTTTTACGAAAAATAATCTCGCATGTTAGAAAAAGATCCTGAATTATATTGTTTACTTTCCACAAACCCCCTCTATCTCTAATATTTACAAATGCCTGAGTATCATCTTCCATAATCCTGCAGCGCAGTAAAATTGAAACACACTATTGGCTATACTTACATAAATTTTTACTACTTTGAAATTTAGTAAACAATCTCTGAAATATATATTCAATAAGATATTGTAAATTTTTTTTTTCTATATCAGTTATTTCTTCAGTTGTACCTACAGATTCAACCACATTTGGGTTTATATCAGAAAGATGATTTAATATAATAGCAGACATTTCAGTGAGTAGTGTATTGCTCAAAGTTATATCACTGAAGTGTGAAGCTAGTAGATTTTCGCTCAGCAGTCCATAATACTCTTGATAAAATAAATCACTATTGCCTTTAAATTTTTCTATAATCAGTTTTAAATTTTGCCAAAGATGTTCAGCATCATCTATTGAATAATTAAATTGCTCGCATGAGAAATTTTTTCTAATATCAAATGTCCATTTCCAATAAACTAGCACATTCTTCAACTATGCTTTTTAGCTTTAGCGGTGACAATTTATTAGAAGAATTCTCCGTATCAGACATTTTTAAAGAACTTTTTTCAAAACATTCTAAAACATGCTTCGATGCTATGTGTCTTTTTAAACCTCTAATTGTTTTGTATAATTTAGGACACTGAGTGCATGCATGTTGTTTGACATTATCTCTATGAATATCGATATCAGAAACAACGGAATCTATATCTGTAACTAAGTTAATGTCATCATTCAAAAATCATCTCCTTCAACCACGTCAAATAATCATTCCGAATCACTATTTGTCTCAAAACTTGTGCAGGTTCGCCGGGTCGTCGTGTAGTTTTCAAGTTAAAAAACAATGGAAATGGTCAGTGTTTCCAGACTATGTATTCTTATGATTATAACTACAGCCATATTTAATACTTAGTAAATATTAAAAGAATAAATAAAAATATTAAAGTTCTTTTTAAGAATGCTATTCATTTAATAAAATTGATTTTGGACTTGACTTTTTTAAGATAAATATTTAAGATAAATTTTATGACATTTTTAAGATAAATATTTTTAAAGATAAATATACTCATGCCTTACCGTTACATTTTTATCATCCAAACGCCTATGTTTTACTTCGGCCAGTAAGTTTTTTTCAAAAAGCACCGATCTCTTAAAAAAGATCTTTGTTAACTAAGGTATACATGTCTTGCAGACGGTACAATTTTTTTCTTTTATATTCTAACTATGTCTTGGTACTTTTTTCAACTCAGTGCAGTGAGCACGCTAAATTTCAAATTTCAAATCTTTTTTTCCAGGTTTTAAGAGAAGAATGTTTGTAATATTTATTCAGTATATCCCATATATTTTTTTCATTTTCATGAGTTCCGTTGATTCATAGATCGTTCTTCGTGATCTATCTTTTAAGATTCGTTACTTTTCTTTCATAACGTGTTCTATCTTGATATGCTCTTTTTTTTTTAAGAATTTATTGATTAGATATAAAACCATTAACGTCAGAAAAAACAGCAAAATCATCCATTTAGCGAGAGAGCGCTAATTAAAAACCGCAGAGGTTTTTTAGCAATTTTCAATGTTTTTTATTGCTTTAATAATATTTTTTGATCACCAAAAGCTGTTTTTTTTAGGCACTAAACTCTTTAAACGGAATCAAGTTACGAAATAGCTTATTATACATCAAAATAACTAACAGTGTCTCAAAAAATATCCGACCAAACATTTTTGTAAATATTTTTCCTAAAAAAAGTGCTGTATTTTAGTAAATTTCGACTTTTTTGATTAACTCAAGATTAATAAAAATAGAACATGTTTTTAAATAGATTTTATTTATTTTAGTGTAAAATATGAATCACAAAGTTTTCAGTCTTAAAATAAAGGAACTTAAGTTGTTTTTTTATTGTTAAAAAAATATTCGACTAAACACATTTTTTGTTTCATAATAAATTATTAAATAACAAAACAATTATTTTAATACTATAATACTATATAATAAAGATTTTGTTTTTTCTGGTTGAATCGTTTTCCAGGCTTCTTCAATTGCCACTTTGAGGTTGTTTTTTTTGAAAAATGACCGATCTCCAATTTTTCGGTCTAAAATTTCCCACAAATGTTCAATGGGATTAAGGTCCGGTGATTGTGCGGGCCATTCCAAGACCTTAACATTATTTTCAGCAAACCACTTCTTGGTTTTAGTGGCATTATGCTTGGAATCGTTATCTTGCTGAAATATAAAATCAGATCCTAGCCGATGTTTTCGAGCAGATGACTTCAAATTTTTCTTTAATATGTTTCTGTATTGCACCTGATCCATTATAGCATCAATAAATTGGAGTTTTCCGACACCCTTCCAAGCCATTGAACCCCATACCATCACGTTACCACCATCATACTTGACAGTTACTCTTACGCAGCTTAATTTGAGGCTTCTCCGGTTGCTCCACAGCATCTTATTCCAGAAACTTAACGATATGTTTTTGAACTTCTTAGCAAACTCCAATCTTCTTTTCATGTCTTTCTTACTCAAATATGGTTTATTACGCAAAGTTGTCTTTGAAATCACTGGTCTCGGATACGATTTCTGATTGTCTGATGGGATAATTTAATTCCATAATTCTCTTCAGCTTGCTCAGCCAATTTTCGAGCAGAAATAAAGCGATTTTTCTTGACTTGCATAATTAAGTTCTATCAAAACTCTTAGAAGTCTTTTTTTTTGCGACCCTGCTCCTCTTGGCTGTTGTTCCGATCAAATTATACTTCTTCATTATGTCGGATACTGCATTATGGGGAATTCTAGTCTCTTGCTTCACCTGACGATAGGTTTTACCCTGATTGACTAGATCGACAGCTAAATTACTCTGCAGTGACGTTACTTCCAACCATTTTACTTTACAAAAACATTTTACTTTATGAAAATAGCTTTTTTTACTACAAAAAAACAGTTTTTAGTTATGCAATATTATTAATTGTATAAAAATTTGCTAAAATATTTCAACAAATTTCACATAAAGTTAGTTAAACTTACTTAAATATTACTTGGTCAGATAATTTTTTTACAAGCCTACTTAATACTAAGTTTCATTTAGGACAAATAATAAACCAACTGAAGCCTGAATCAAAAAATTTGAACGCTAAATAACATACTATTCCAATAGAATTAAAATGACAGACAAAGTAAGTATAGCTATTCATAGTTTTTAGTATAATTTAGAGCGCAAAAATTTTTTTTTGGCAAAAACTTGTTTGATCCGATAATTTTTTGAGACACTGTATGATCATTTATTTTTTTAATAACGATGGGTTATTAATAACGATAGATTATTTATTTAATAACGATAGATTATTTAATAATGATAGATTTATTTAATAACGATAGAAGTTAAATCTAAATTAATTTTTATTTATCTTTACAACTTTGTTATGTGTTTTCTCTATACTACAAATATTAAAAATAAATACTGATAAAAATAATTAAACAAAAACTTTAAATTTTAAAATAAATAAGATAATTTTATAAAAATGAATTGAGCAAACTTTTGGTCGAAAAATTATCTGCATATCGCGAGATTTTTTTTGTTGATTCATTATTCGTCTTCAAACCGTGACGCATCAAAAGTATCTAAAAACAATATATATATATATATATTTATATATATATATATATATATATATATATATATATATATATATATATATATATATATATATATATATATATATATATATGTATATATATGTATATATGTATATATGTATATATGCATATATGCATATATGTATATATGTATATATGTATATATGTATATATGTATATATGTGTATATATATATATATATATATATATATATATATATATATATATACATATATACATATATAATATATATATATATATATATATATATATATATATATACATACATACATACAAACATACATTCATACATACATACATATGTACATACATATATACTTACATACATACATACATACATACATACATACATACATACATACATACATACATACATACATACATACATACATACATACATACATACATACATACATACATACATACATACATACATACATACACTATTGAGCTTAATTTTATAAAACTGCTCTTTAGAAATTCTAAAATTTTTACATCTTATAAATTTTTTGAAACGCAAGAACACTGAAAAGGGGCGGCTTACACGTTTTGGTGTAATTCTTTTTACTTACACAAAATACCAAACTCTTTTTCAAAACCTCATATTAACCAGTTAAACTACAAAACTCCATATGATTATTATGAATTAGTAGTAATTTTTATATATAGATTATGAGTTTTTTAAATTTACACATTAGTTTTTGTTGTTATATTAATGTAATTCTAGTTAAATATTTTAGATCATCTAGTTGTAATAGGTAATTTATTCTCCAGAAACACGTCATAGGACTACTACAAATCACGCCTAGCTGACGTTACACCAACTTAAAGGACCTTTAAACTATTTTTTATACTAATAACTCTTACTATTGAGGCATGCTACTACAATAGTTACACACGTAAAACACAATATCTATTTACATTACACATACCTAAATGAACTCAAAACAATTCACAACTCTCATTGACCCATGCTACACTTTGAAAAAACACTGCACTTAATAGACACTCATGTCAAAAAACTACTTACTATTGTTTGTAAGTTGAACTAAACCCCGCTAAGTGTCCTCTGGTCTCAGTGTCAATTCAGGAGTCTGTGGCAGTCTTCCTGACTGGATACTCTGAGAATAGTCCCTTTGGGATAACACAATGGGATACCTTTAAAAAGATACCCTGGTGTAGACCCAGAGTGGAACTTCTTTTGGGATACCAGTTTCGGATGAAAGCTGGAGGTCTTTATGCGTTCACACTGCACCATAGGGCACGAATTCATACTGTACTCGAGACGTTCATGACACTTACATCTATAATGAAGGTTTATCACCCTCAGAATACAAACCACATGGTGACTACTTATAAAACGAATAATTCTACCACATTACCAATTCTATCTACAAATCACATTTACGCTGGACTCTAACAACAAATTAGTAGCACAACAACTAATGAATTTCCTTGACTGTTGTTTATTATTCTTATTTACTTTTAACTACACTTTACTCATATCAGTTTTTAATATTTTTCCACTTTGAGGCTCTTTTTTTTCCTCTGGACATCTGTCCTTTTGTACTTTTATCTCACTCTGCTAAACTCTTTTTAACTTATTATTCATCCCTAAGGCGTACACTGCTCGGTGCAGCTTCACTAAAATGCATTGCATTTACAAAAAATTAGGACGATAATCAAGGTAAAGTAATTTATAGAAAAAAGCCTTTCTTTTTAACAACTTAGCGTTAATTTTTTTTTCAACACATTTTCAACTTTAATTTAAACTCATAAAATTTTTAAAATTAGGGAAACAATTTTATCAGTTTTATAAGTTCTTCAATAGTTCATCAATTTCAGCAACTGTTTTTCAATTATAAAACAGGGTAGAAAGAAATTGAGAATGTAATAAAACAGTAATGACATTTATTATTCTATTAGTTTTATATATTAAATAAAAAATTAAAAACTATTTTTGGATTATTTTGGAGAGAATCCTTATCTAAATTAGATGATGTCAAATTTAGAAAAAAAAAAATTTATTCTAAAAACTGATTACATTTTTGGGCGAATTTTTTTGTTCTTTTTTTAAAAAATAGACATCAAACTTTAGGAAGAAAAAAATGGACATCAAAAGGAAAAAAAAATTTCTATCAGTAAACTTAAAACGTTACATTCCGTCAAGAAGGTTTTTTCATAATTAAATTTCCAGTAAAAAGTTAAGTTTAAAATTGAAACAATAAAATATGGGGTTGAATAAACTACTCTAATTGCAACTTGGTAAATAACACTTTTGTTAATGTCTAAACTGGCAAATGAAACTCTTAAAATTCTTCGTATAAATATCAATTAATCAATTATTATCAAATCTACTCTAATATAAAGTTTTTTGCACACAAGAAATAATAGCAAAGTACTTCAACACATTGCAAATCGAATTCAACGAAGCAAGTATTAACAAAAATATCTTATGTCATTTGTTGAATTTTTATGAAAATAGCTTCTCTGGTGTATCAAGGCAAGTAATACATAGTTTGTAGGTATGGTGCTAAACGACCATTAAAATTAGTCGTCAATAATGAAAAAATTCATTATACAGTTAGAAATTGACAATTACAAAATAATGTTACACACTTACAGTGGAAACATTAACATCAATTGAAACAAAAATGTTTCTGTTTTATTTCAAAGAACAATAACTGTGACAATAGCTTTGTTCTCTCATGCACTTAATAAATTGGGGGTAGAAATAAAAAAGGGTGGGAATTTTAGTCCAGAGATAACAAACAGGGTGGGGGGGGGGAAGGCATTATTCTTAATTAATGAGTGGGTGGAAATTTCTTACAGAACACAAATAAGCATTTTAATTTTAGTGTGGCTGTTTTAATTCAATAGGATTTATTATGCTTATTTAAGTTTTTTACTATGGTAAGAAATAAACAAAAACCTAAATTTTGTCAAATCAAGATTTTTTAAAAGTTGAAAACTTCTACACTAAATGTTTTAATTTCTTATTAGTGACTAATATATAATTTTCTGATTTTTTTTTTTTAGTTTTAAAATGGGTTTTAATTTTTTTTTTAAAGTCCATACGGTCTTATCACAGAGCACCGTGTATGAGCATTTAATTAAGAGTTCACACCTCATTCCTAACCAATGTCACAAAACTTGCCCAGAGGTGAAATTTGAACCACATAACCATTGTTTCTGAGGCAAGTGCGCTACCACTGCACAACGGCTGCTTAAAAAGCATGGGATGGGTAGGGAAAAATTTTCAAAGATTAATAAAAGTTTGGAAAGGTTGTACAAAGAACATGTCAAGTCTTGTTAGTTTAGAAAGACCTTTAAGTAATCAAATATTAAATTTCATTAAATCATTTTACATATATAACATACTTAAACACCTGAATATATTAACCCAGTACATCACCTTAAACACCTGATTATTTTAACCAATCACCTTGATGATGCACTCATTCAACAAATTCACTTTTTATATACAGACAATACTCTGGAGCCAAAAACTCTTGAAATAAAAGTCGCAGTGGTTTAAGTAATTATCAATCTTATTTTGCTTACAACCTGTTTCAACTTGACCTAATTTTTTCAAGTTAACAATCTTTTCAACCAAACAATCTAATTGGAATGCTTTGTCACACTATTATTTAATCAAAATTTATTACTCCAAGAGTTTTTATTTTTTTTAATTCTGTATGATTATTTAATCTTGCAGAGGTACAAAAACATCATTGTTTTAGAAGTTGCCAGAAACTAGTGAAAATATAAGGCATAAAATTTTATAGAAAAGTACTTGAAATAGTTTCAAATCCTTAATTTTTTAAATCATTAAAAAAAGTCAGATTCAACATTCACAAAATTTTTTATTTCAATTTTTAATAATATTTTTTTAGATACAAAACTAATAGTAAAAAAAATTATGCTAAAATAAAAAATCAAAATTGAATGCTTAAAAATATTTTTCTAATACCTTGCGAATCTTCGGAAAAAGTTGATTCTTCACCAACATCATTTAAATTCAAATCATTAAGATCTGTTAAATCTGAATCGTCAGGATCAGTTAAATCTGAATCCAAGTTAGTGTAGACAACCTCTGAACAATCTATAGTACTCTGACTTCTACTTGAGTCAATATCACTACAGCTTGTTTGAGAAGAAAGGTCATATATATTTTGATTTGATATGTTTGATTCAATTGAAGTATTAGTTTGAGAAGTAAAACCATGCGTGCTTGATTCAGTCATAGTGTTAGAATTATAGTAAAAAGTCTCAAATTTTGATTCAGGTTCTAACAAATTTCAAATTCAGATTGTTAGTTTTATTATAGCAAAAACATTTGAATTTGTAAACCAAACAAAATTAGTTAAAAACAGCAACAAACAACAAAAAAAAAAAAACATATTAAAAAACGCATTAAAATACAAAAAATAACATTTTATGTTTTAACTTAAGGTTTTTCAGTTTAACAAAAAAATGGTCAATGTTGAATAGTTTTTAGTTTTGTCTCATACCTGAATCTCCAGTTTGGATACTTGACATGCTGCCATGAATATTTGGTTGCATAATTGAAAAACTAAATGAGTTATGATTGAATTATTATTTAAAAGATTATAGTTGAATTAAGAATAAAAAAATCAGAACTACTTATTTAAATAAATAATAATAAATATTAAAGAAATGATTAATTATAAAGAAAAAACATATTTATCTATATTATAATGAAAAGATAAAAAGAATACTAAAATACCTAAGAAAACCAAAATTTTTATTTTAAATTATTTTTGACTTCATAAAAGTGTTATTAATGTGATGGTATTTGTATTTTCACTTTTTTTTAAAATTTGATGATGGAGGTATTTATTTTTTTAAATCAATATACAAAACATTATTATTACTAACCCAAATTTTCAAAGGTATAGCATGACTTTTTAAGTTTCCAGGTAATTTTTTTTAATTACTATTCCCTCTGTTTTACAATGTTAATGTGGGATTCCAACTAAAACAGCTCCATACCTTAACACTAACTCCACTATGTTTTAAAGTCAATAATACATTATTTTATCATACATTCAAAATAATTTTTTTTCAGACTTTTTTTTTAAAACCTTTAAAACTTCGATACTTTGATCCACGTTTACAGTCATTGATGGTCTATTTTTTATGTAGTTTACAGTCATTGATGGTCTATTTTTTATGTAGTTTACAGTCATTGATGGTCTATTTTTTATGTAGTTTACAGTCATTGATGGTCTATTTTTTATGTAGTTTACAGTCATTGATGGTCTATTTTTTATGTAGTTTACAGTCATTGATGGTTTATTTTTTATGTAGTTTACAGTCATTGATGGTCTATTTTTTATATAGTTTTTAGCATTTTTATTATTCATATGATTTCTATCAAAGAATTTTATTCAAAATACCTTTGTTTTTTAATTTAATTTTTATTTTAATTTAAAGTACAAAAATAAGCATAAAAAATAGAATTAAAAAAAAAAGTTAATTTGAATAATTATGAACGGTAGTGTATATATATTATATATATATATATATATATATATATATATATATATATATATATATATATATATACATTATAAAATATATTATAATATATTTTATATATGTAAATATATGTGTGTGTATATATATATATATATATATATATATATATATATATATATATATATATATATATATATATATATATATATATATATATATATATAACAGGCCTCGGCGGGAAGCGAGAGCTTTAGCTCTCGCTCTCGCCCACACTCCCCTAAAACAGTTTACAGGAGCAATTTACGGCTCTCGCAAAAGTATAATTTTTCTCAAGAAGGTATAATTAAAATTACAAAAGAGTGCTAATTTAAATGAGGAGCATATAGCAGCTCGCACAGCTCCCCAAAAAAAAAAAGCTCTCCGTTTTAGAAAAGCTCTCCGTTTTAGGAGAGCTTTTCTCAGCTCTCGTGCTCATTTGTTCCCACCGAGGCCTGTATATATATATATATATATATACATATATATATATATACATATATATATATATATATATATATATATATATACATATATATATATATATATATATATATATATATATATATATATATATATATATATATATATAAATATATATATATATATATATATATATATATATATATATATATATATATATATATATATATATATATATATATATATATATATATATATATATATATGTATATATATATATACACCTATTTGTGATACCAAAAACTAAATGTTTATCAGCTCATTATTTTAATTAGAAAAAGAGTTTAAATTAAAAAGTAGAACATTTTTAAAAAATTAAAAAGTAGAACATTTTTAAAAAATTAAAAAGTAGAACATCAAACTCTCAAATCCAAGACATTGGTTTAGCTGTAGTTCTTAGAACAGAAATCTTACTAAACATGATTAAATAATAGTTGGCAAGTAATTTTTTTTAATGAGGTTTACCATGTCTTTTATACTAGAATTATTGGATATAATTATTCTGCTAGCTATTTGAACTTGAATGTAAGTATTTTTTCTGGCCTGACTAAAGCACTTTCAGGTGTCATTTTTATACATCTACCAATGGATCGTGCATGAGAGGGCCATTTTGTTTATTTTCATTGGAGAGTTGATAAATTCTTTAACTGCTTCAGTTGATAAATTACATGTTAAAGGTGGTTCAGTAATATCACTTATGTCTATAAGTTCAGACAAACAGGTTGCTTTCATGATGATGTATGGAGTTTTTTGAATCCTGAAAGATCTCCAAATTGAAGTGCATCATTTCCAGCTCATCTAAATTCAACTATTTTGTTTAATGCTTCTTTTCTCTCATCTTCAATTTGATTACAAAGCATATTTTATAAAACTGATTCAGGGTGAGTATACCATGCTGATCATTTGAAAGTGAATAAAACAATGCTAGTTACCTTATAAGTTCATCCTTATTCTTAGGTGGAGTAAGAAAGTTGTAGACCTGTTGTTTAACTACTGCCCATAAATTTTCGAGAGGGTTAAGATCAGGACTTTGTGCTGGCCAGTCAACGACTTTCAATTTCTTTTCGTGAAGGAATTTAATGGTCTTATCAGCCTTATGCTTGGAGTCATTGGCTTGCATGAACATCGTGTTACGTACAGTTCTGCCCCATTTTCGAAAAGACTTGAAAGACCTGACCTTAAGGATGTTGATATAGTCATTAGCGTTCATTATTCCATTAATTTTCACTAATTCACCGATTCCACGAGCACAGAAACATCCTCAAAACAAGGGTTTTCCTCTGCCATATTTAACGGTTGGTGTAAAATCTCGAGCACTTAATGGTGAATTAGGTCTTCTCCAAGTATATCTTATAGCATCTGATCCAAACATATTAGTTTTACTTTCATCTGTCCAAAATCCAGTCATAAAAGTCATCAAAAGTCATGTGTGCTTCAGTTTAGCATAATTTAAACGAGCTTGGCAGTGACGAGAAACTAACAATGGCTTTTTGATCTTCCTTCTGGATCAAAAACCAACTCTTTTGAGCTCTCTATTGACTGTTTGCACTGAAGCATGAGTCCCATAGCTGTTATTCATTAAATTAGTAACATCCTTTACAGTTTTAGATTCTCCAGAAGCAATTAAACAAGCGATTGTTCTTTGGTCTCTTGGTGTAAAAATTTTCTTTCTACCATTTTTATGCTTATTTACTAAAATTACTAAATTATTGCGCAACTTGATTCTATATATGAGATTATGAGACTTTCCGAACTCAACATCGATTTCATAATAACATTTTCTGGATTTAAGCTTTTCCACAATATTTTTTTTCTAGTTCAAGATTTATTTTTATTATGATGATAATAACAATACTTTTTTTATGTTTCGTAAACAAAATTACACTTTAAATGATATTTAATCATTAAAAATCTGTGAAAAGTTGATAACTCAATCATTTTAGTCATAAGGCTATTAATTTATGTTGTATGCCTAATTAACTGTGGACAAATATGTTAATAGCTTTCATTCGCAAATTGTCGCCATTAGCTTTTCACATAAAAATTAAAAAAAGAAATTCAACATCTTCTAAATTTAACAAAAAGCATTATTTTTAGTTAGCTAAGTCTTAAATTTAATTAATAACACTAAAATTTCATGGTTCTTCACAGCTTTTCTGATAAAATATATATAAAATAATTTTTTGTTCAATGATTCATGATGACAATTTTGGCACATATTGTAGTTATTTTATTTAGAAAAAAAAAATTGATTATGGTCATTGATTAAGTCCATCAAAATTTAAAATAGAAATGCAATATCTTTTTTATAAAAAATGACATTTAATTCAACAACTTTAAAACAATTGTGTAAACAAAAATAAACTGGCCTATTACACTAAAGAAAATTCATTAAGTAGTTAGTCTCATGTAATGAATGAATAAGTTAATGAAAGAAATTAATGATATTTCTAATATCAGATGTGTAAAAACCTAATAAATATTTTATTAGGATTTTTAATCATCATCATTTTTAATCATCATCATCATCATCATCATCATCATCATCATCATCATCATCATCATCATCATCATCATTTTTCATCATCATCATCATCATCATCATCATCATCACCATCATCATCATCATTATCATCATTGTCATCATCATTTTTCATCATCATTATCATCATCATCATCATCATTATCATCATCATCGTCATCATCATTGCTATCATCATCTTAAAAAATTTTTATAATTTTATATGATGTTTTTTATTTATTTATATCAGTTATTGGAAAAACATCATAAGTCCAACTTTATCTCACAACAAAAAATATAAGCCATACATTATTTCTCTAATAAATTCAAATATCCTATGGTGTTGTTGTGTTGCGGTTTTGTAGGATTAAAATAAAATAAAACAGACTTGGATTGCTTTTTTAATAACTGATTTTTTTGCCAGGTTACTATGATTGTTACTGGATTGACAATAGCAATGTTATTGGATTGACAATAGGAGGCCGAATAACATTTAAATGTAAATAATAGCAAAATATAAAACAAACTTATCTTTAAAAATAATCCACATAACAACAACTACTAGACAGAGACTTGATGGAGAGTAAACTTTTACCAAAAATTTATTCTTAGCAAAAAATTTTATTATTATTATTATTATTGCTATTATTATTATAATTATGAAGTATTAAAGTTGTTAAATTATTTATATAAATGCAAAAAAATGCAAACAAAATTAGTAATCAACCTGTTTATTGAGCTTGAAGTAATGTCTGATAACATTCTAGAATATAAAAATGTGTCAGATAAAAGTCAAAATAAAAACTAGTTAGATTGAAGTGAAAATAATTAAAAGATGAAAAATATACTTTAAACAATAAGTGAAATTTTTGAAAAAAAATTGCGAATATTTAATTTTAAAAATCCAATAATTATAAAAAAATTGTGATAATATAATAATGAAAAATAACTAAACGTTTATAAGAACATACACATTATCCCAAACATTGCTAACATGTGGATTATAGTCACCCTTCTGAGCATCTGAATAAAAATACTTGAATGGAAAAGGTGATGAAGGTAATGGTGGAACATCAAACTTATTATTGATAACTATCTGTTTATCTGATATTATGGGAACTTTAAATCCTTGCCACCGGTTTTTGTATAAAACCCTATTATAAAATAAAAAATAAAAATTTTTTTTCTAAAGATCTTCTATATAAACTTATATTCTAAAATTCATATTTTTAAACATCATCTTTTTAAACTTACATCAAGCAGAAAAGTAAATATCCAATCGCAATAATGGTAACAAGCAATAAAACCCCTATAGTAATTAAGCCAATGAAGTAATACTTTTTTTTATACGTTTTTGAAACAGATGTTACAATGTCCTGAGAAATTGTTGTCATGTTTATAGCTAAAAGCAATTATTTAAGTTAACATTTTTGTACTTAATAAATTTGCAATCAATCAAAATTGAAGAAAGAACATCAAAAGAAAGTTGAAGAACATCAAATTTTATACCTTGGTCACTAGATAAAACCTGAGTCACTGTACCATTTCCCATTGAACTAATTCCACTTAACTGATACCTAAAGAAATAAAATTATAAATATTTCTTGGATGAAAAAGTAAAAAAAAATTCACAATGAAAAATGATTTACATTATATTTTTATCAGTAGGTAGTGGTCCATTACAAGGCAATGTGCTATTCTTAGGATCTTTACATTCTGCTTGTGTTCCAAAATTAACAGGATAGGTGTACAGTTGATTAGTTGCACTAGTGTCTCTTCGTTTTCTTGTGTTATTTAATTGAATCTTTGGAATTGTGATGGTGTAAGCTAAATACTTTCTCATTTTATTTTTGTTAACATTTGGATTATACACAACATCGTACCATGAAATGCGAGGAAGAAATCTGTAGTATCCAACTAAAAAAAAAATTTAGTTTAATCCATAATGGCTGCAAAAGAGAACTAAAAAAGCTAAGTTTAGTCTGTTGGTTTAAAAAAATTTTTTGGATGAAATATTTTTAAGAAAGAAGGTATTGAATATTATAATTTTATTACTCAAGTTCATCTATGAAACCATCCAAAGTAAAAAGAGTAATGGAAATTTTGTGCTGATATTTAAAAAAAAAAAAAAAAACCTGCTTAATAATTGCACATACAGTATACACTAATGCTTCAAGGTGGACATATGTCTTCTTGTTTTTTAAATAAAATTAATGAAATTTGTCAGCTTTTGTTAAAAAGCCAAGGCTGAAAAAAAACTTTACTTGAAGCTAAACAGATTCAGAAACAAATAAAGTCCGAAAGAATCTCAAAAAAGTTAGAGATAATCTTTTTAATTAGGTTAATGTTTGGAAACTAAATGAGTTTTGAAATATATTAGATATTTCAATACTGTGAATTGTTTTCTACATATATACTTTTTGTGAGCGTATTTATCATAATAAGATAAGGATGATCATTAATTGATAAAAACACTCCTAACCAAGTTCAATACAATTATGCTATGACAGGGTTCACTTTTCCTAGCCTTTGCTAAACATATTGCTTTAAATAATATTATTTAACTTTAATCAAAAAAGATATTCAAATTTAAAAATTTTTTTTTTAACTCAAACAACTAAAAAAATGTTGGATAATTAGTTATTTTATTAAACAAAAAATTGTTTTATATTCAGTTGATCCAATTATTTAATTATTACACTTTCATTAAAAAAAAAAATTATATGCATTAGTTAATACTAATTTTCTATTTTATTCTTTCATCTAAACAAAAATTTCTGTTCACTTCAAAATTTAACAGCAGCATAAAAAAATTGTGATAATATAATTTTTGTTTACACTGTTATCCAACAGAAACAAACTGCAAGAGAATAGAATCAGCTTATTCTTTTGTTTACACTGTTTTCTAACAGAAACAAACTGCAAGAGAATAGAATCAGCTTATTCTTTTGTTTACACTGTTTTCTAACAGAAACAAACTGCAAGAGAATAGAATCAGCTTATTCTTTTGTTTACACTGTTATCAAACAGAAACAAACTGCAAGAGAATAGAATCAGCTTATTCTTTTAACCACACTGTTATCTAACAAAAACAAACTGCAAGACTTGAAGCTTATTCAAAATCTAATAATTAAACTAGAATCTAAAATTAAAAAAAGTTAAATACAATTTAAAAATTATATTATATTAAATTAAATTATATTAAATAATAAATATTAAAAAAAAATTGTTATACAAACGTAAAACAACAGTTTGAAACCCTTAAATTCATTTATAAATCTTTTATTTTATTCATACTTACTCTGACCACAAACAAGATAAGCCAATTTTTCACTTAAGCCAATTTTTCACTTATCAATTTTTGCAATTCAAAGCATTTTAAAACAAAACAGCTTCTGCTCCTTATGTCTAACTGGATACGATGCAAAAAAATGGCGCCAAAAAAAAAAAGGCGCAACTATGCAAACTCTCTTCCACCTCTTAACTTAACAACTTTATAGTTTTGTTATTTAATAAATGTGTATGTGTTTGTGTCACTAATACAACACATGTAAAACAAACATGTATGTGTTTAATGTAATGTGTTACATTAAAAATCAGCTCATGCATATTTGCATTTGGAAAGCAAGCATGAAATTTAAAAGTAAATGAATTTATAATATTAATTCATTTGCTTATAAATTTCATGCTTGCTTTCCAAAATGAAATATACATGAGCTAATTTTTAATGTAAATAAGCTTTTAAGATGAAATAAAAGAGCTTTTAAGTTATATTATAACTTAAAAGCTCACTTATTTCAGCATTGTAAAAAAGCACATATTACACTAACAGCTCAAGACTACTGCTGTGTGATAGTATTGAATATCTTTACTGCTGTATGTGAGTATTTAACATCTTTAGCAACTCACATTTCACACATTCTCACATCTTCACTATTACATAAAGATACACCAGACTGACGATCTAAAGTCCTACATTCCTTTAACAATAACTTATACAACTTTCTTAATATAATATGCAAAACAGGAGGGATTAAACTTTCTAAAATTGTTATTAAAAAAATCACAGGAGCAACAATTCAATAATAAAGCTTACAAAGAGTTCTTAAACTTCCACAATGCATATCTTCACAAAGGTTTTTGTTGTGAGGTTTTATTGTTCTTCCTAATATTTTTAAAATTTGATGGAGTGTAAGAGAATGAGCTTCTTAGATGGCATGAAAGGCATAGAGAATGAGCTTCTTAGATGGTGTGTAAGACATAGAGAATTAGCTTCTTTGATGGTGTGTAAGGCATAGAGAATGAGCTTCTTAAATATTATAACTCAACTAGTTCTGTAGAACTTGGAAAGCTAGCAGCTGAATCCTGGTTTCCCAGAACATAATAGATAAAATTAAAATCTTCACCTCAGAAAAGCCTATTTTTTTTTTGCCTTTTTTAATTTTTAATTTAATTTAAAATCTGACAACTGAATTCTTTTTAATGTCACCGACATAAAGCTCAAGAATAAAGTCAATATTCTAACCACAATCTGAACCCTGATAAATACAAAATAAATTAACATCATACACAGATCCAAATGATTTAGAATTGAAGATTTCAAAATAAAAAAAGATATAACACCCACTTTTATCTCCAGCAAAAAAGGAGCATCACCACTTCAACAAAAATCAGAGTTGAGATGGTCCCAATTTTAATAATTATTAAAAAAATTTCTTCATTATAAGTTTTCAAATTCTTAACCACAAATTCAAAGACTCTTCAAAGTGTTTCATTTGGAGATGGATAAAGCAACATAGATTTCACTGTAACATGTTCTTTACTGATATGCATTGTCCACATATCTTGTTCTTTTTAAATAGCAATATGATACAAACAAATAAAACAATATTTATTGACAAATAGATGCACTTGATAAAAGAGGATATTAGTCTAATTGTTCATGGAAAATAATTCTGTGTAACTTTGTTTATTTTACACTTCAAAACTTGTCACACTAAAGCAGTTGTTTCATTAAAATTTGTAGCTAGGGATGTAACATATTTAAGGTTGTAAAAAGGCTTTAAGTTTGAAAATCAATCATAACATAGCTAAAGAAATATATAGAAAATTTTTATTGGAATTTGATGTTCATAAAGGGTTGAAATTTTAAAAATTTAGTGGACATTACAAAAATATTACATTTTCCACTTAAAATAAATACAAACAAAAATATTATTGCATTAAAAACTAACTTTTTGTAAAAGAATTATCAATGCCCACCAAATATTAGATATAATAGACATTCATTGATAAATGTTCTAAATTTCAACCATCAAGCATAAAGATAAGTTATGAAATTTTAGTCAACTCGAGACAGGTTTTCTGTAAAAATTGTTGAAAACAGACGACTAAATTTCAACTTGTTTCTCTACAGAGCGGCCTTGTTCGTCAAGGTTCGTGTTTCGGAGTTATAGAGTTGAGAGAGGGTTATAACCACTATTAAGTAGCCTCCTCATCTGTAGCGTTCTTCTCGGCCTTGAGGAATAACAAAAAAAAAAAAAAAATCATAAGCATTGTTTTGAGAAATTTGATTTTTATTCTGCCTAATGTAAACATTTATTTTGCAACAATCGATAAAAACAATCTTTTATAATTTTTTTACTTGAAGATTAAAGCGTGTATAGAAAAAATTTATAATATTTTAAAATATTGAAAAAAGTGTGTTTTAAAACTCTTTATGCAGAAATTATTTTTTGTTAAACTCATGGAGTATTGTCCAACTTTATAATGTGTGAAACATCAGTGTATAAATCACATATTTTTATAACTTTCACCTTAATTTCAACTTAATTTCAAATAGTTTTCAAAACTATTTTATAAGAACATATTCTTTGAACTAGCATTTATTTCCAATAGCATTTATATAGCATTTATTTCCAATAGCATTTATATAGCATTTATTTCCAATAGCATTTATATAGCATTTATTTCCAATAGCATTTATATAGCATTTATTTCCAATAGCATTTATATAGCATTTATTTTCAATCTTAAATAGAATTTATTTTCAATCTGACAGCGAATCAGCAAAGTCACATCTTTTTGATGTAATTGTTTCATCTATAAAAAAAATCTTTATACATCTAGTTTTCTTCCTTGAACAGCAGTACTTGACAACTCTCTGTTTATTTCTGTCTTACTGCTTATTTCATATTTCTGGTTCTTTATATTTTGAGTTTTTCTGCACAGCTATAAAATAGGTTTATATACTGTAATAAATTGTATTAATAGATGTATATTTTAACACAAAATTTAAATTTTGTGTTAAAATATACATCTATATGTGTATGTATGTGAGCATGTAAAATGTTCACAAACATATATGTATATATGTATATGTATATATATATATATATATATATATATATATATATATATATATATATATATATATATATATATATATATATATATATATATATATATATATATATATATATATATATATATATATATATATATATATATACATATATATATATATATATAAATTTCTTTACTTTTAGATACAATATAATTGCAAGCTCCTCATAAAAGATTATTGGGAGTTTTTGAGAAAAAAAACTTTTGTTATGGTTTTTAATAATATTGTTTACATTTTCATGGTTTTCCTTAAATGTGTTTGTAAGTTAAAAATAACTTAACCTCAGAATAAGTCTTACTTGACAAAATTGTATTATTTTGATTCTCTGTTGTTTTTTTAATCTTATAGTTTCTGTATATCATTGGATGCCACTTGTCATTTTAAATGTTTTCTGCATTAAAATTTTTTAGAGAACTGCATTATATCTAATAGAATTATTCAAAATTTTTAATTTTATTTTTATGTCTCTGTTACTGATCATAGAGCCATCCTTCATACCTATTATTTATGACTTTGTTGTTTTGCTTACTGCTTTTCTACCCATTTCTGTGTTCCTTAACATTGAAAACTTATTATTCAGAAAAGCTTTAAGTAACATCAAAACCTAAGGAAATCATCAAATGTGACTGGTCATCATTACCTAAAGAAATCGTCAAAGTATCAAATGATTTAATAAAATAAATATAAATAACAGTTGGGTTGAGTAGAAAGTAGAATCAGAATCAATTTAAAAGTTTTTTTGCTTTTTTTTTACAGCATTCTTTTTAATATTTTTTGTATTCTTTTAATAAAACATCAACATAAAGTTTTTCTGTTGTTCAAAATCACAAAAACTTCAAAATAACAAAAGAATAATGCAAAACAACTATGATTTTGTTTTACTTATTTTTCTAAAATATTTGTATTAATAGGTTTATTAACAAAATCTCAGTCTATTAAAACGGAAATAAAATTTATAATAAATTTGAAATAAGCATTTTTTAAATTTTATACCAAAAAATTTTGCATTATTAAATTCTAACTTTTTGTTAGAATTTAAGAATGCAAAAAAAAATTCTGACTTTTAAGTTTATAAAAACAACAGCATAATGAACATTATATAGAAAATTGTTTGGCGCTGGACCAAAATCACATTAAAAAAAAAAATTAACTTCTAGATAAGTTACAAAAAATACAATTTTTTTAGTTTATTATTAATTCACCCTATTTAATCTTCTGCAATCTTTTTTATTTACTTACTAATTAACTACAATTTACAACAAATAATAAACTGAATTACTGATTTGATGCATATTTAACTTGATACATATTTCTGGCATTAAAATAGTAAGTCTATTGTCAAGAAATTAGTATTTATATTCATAAATAAATACCACTTATTAAATTTTGTTTTTTTAAAAACTAAAAAAGAGCAACTTAACACACTGGTAACTTTTTTAAATAAAAACAAAAATATTTTAAATGTTTTTATCTTATACTGTTTACAAACATGGACTGGCAAAAAAGGGAGAACATACAAAGAATGCTGCAACATCTACTGACAAGTAGGTTGGTTCATGCAAGGAGTGCTGCTACATTGCCTAAAGTTTTTGGTTAAATATAATATATACATATAACAGGTGATAACTAAAAAATTAGAATAATTCAAACCCTTTGAAATCAAACCGCAAAAATAAAAATAATAAAAGTACTCCTATGTGAAACTATACTCTCTCTGTTAACAAACTTATCATATGTTTTATTTTGCATCAGCTAATTCAGTTGTGTTTAAAATGTTGTCAAAACAAGATGCAATGATTGTAAAGTTCTATCAAATGCACAAAAATCTCAGAAAAAAGTTTACTGTGAATCATTTTAAAACCAAAAATGTTCCAGCTTCAACTATTTACCATATTTTGGCATCCTTAATAACCAATCGTAGAAGTGGTAGTGGAAGACCAGCTAAAATAATGATGTTTTCATTTTTAACAGTGGTTTCAACAACAATGATTTAATAAGTCAACAAAATGCTGCAGAAAAGTTCAAGTGTACGCAGGCTTATATCTGCAAATTGTTGAAAAAACAAGGAATAGTCTGTCAAAAAAATAAGAGAACCGGAATACACTGAGCAACAAATATCAATCGTAAAATCTCAATGCTGCTGGATGACTCAAAATTATTCTAGAAAATGTTTTGTTTTAGATGACGAAAGTTATTTCCTCCTCTCCAAAACGCAAGTTTCAGGAAATGATCAATATTATGCAGATAAAAGTTCTACAACACCTACAAAAATGAAATACAAATATAAACACAAGTTTGAGCAGAAAGTGATGCTGTACATTGCCATATCTGAGAGAATTTCCAAGCCATTGTTTAAGCCAAGTGATTTGGCTATTAAACAAAAAGTATATCAAAATCAATGTTTAAAGAAAATATTGATTCCATTTCTTCAAAAATATCATTCAGACGGCAATTACCCGATTTGGCTGGATAAAGCATCATCGTATTTTGCCAAAAAAATACAAGTCTTCTTGGAGAGCCAAAACATCCCATATGTACCAAAAAACTGCAATCCGATAAACTTGCCTCAGTGTTGCCCAATTAAAGATTTCTTTGGATATTTGAGTTTGTTAGTATACAAAATCAACTGGAGAGCTAAGAATTGCAAACAATTGATTACCCGAATCGAAAGTTGCATTCGTTAAATCGATATAAATGCTTTACAATGTTCCTGGTCCAACATCATGACAAAACTATGCCACAATGCTGATGATGGACCATACTCGAATGTTCCTTAACTTTTTCTTAAAGATAAGTGATGTACCTTCAATTAAAATAAATATAATTTTCATTTTCTAAACACTTGTTTTTATTATAGCTCGATATGAAAATTCTCATTTATTAGTTATCACCCGTTATATATATATATATATATATATATATATATATATATATATATATATATATATATATATATATATATATATATATATACATATATATATATATATACATATATATATATATATATATATATATATATATATATATATATATATATATATATATATATACATATATATATATATATATATATATATATATATATATATATATATATATATATATATATATATATATATATATATATATATATATATATATATATATATATACACACACTTATTACTTATATATACACCTATTTAATTTTATTTATTATTTCAAAAAAATGCAAATAATGTAATCATACAATCTGGATCACTTGATGAGAAATCTGCTTGTACATCAATGTTATAAGCTTCATACTCCAGCGAAAAGTTTAGTAAGGTATTTGTTGATACTATATTGGAAGATGAAGAAGAGGCTGATAAACAAGCCGATGGCCTGATTGTAATTCGAATATCTATTTTATCAGAAAAAAAAGTTCCATCTTGAGCTACACAAACCAAATTATAAAAACTAGATTTTGTAGCATTTAATGTATTGTTCACGCGAATTTCACCAAGTTGATTGACACTAAATGTATACTCAGAATTTCCATCAATAATTTGATAGGTTAAGTTAACACTATCTTTATCAAAAGCTGAAAGAATAGAAACTAACTGACCAATACTAGTACTCTCATCTAGAAAAATATCTTTTGACCGGGACAAAAATACAGGTGGTATATCATTAACATTAATAATATTAACAAGAACTGTGGCAATGGAAGTCTTCTGATGATCTAATGAGTTACGTAGCAAAATAACAAATTTATGAACAACTTGTACTTCGTAGTCCAAATTTTTAATTAAAATGACAATTCCACTTACAAAACCAATTTCAAAAAAAGACTCAGCATCTTGATCAATCATAAGAAACTCTACATTGCCATAACTATTTGGAATAGTTGCATTTACACACAATATATATGAATTTAAAAGGAAATCTTCTTTAAGAGAAACATTATAGAAATAATACTCTGGAATTGGCTCTAAAATACCAACTACAGTCACATTTACACGAGCTTGAACTAATGATGAAAGAGAAGGAACATTATTATCAAAAACATTTACAAAAAAAACAGTAGAGTTCCCTACTAGTGCCCAATTTGAAACAGAGACAACACCAAAGTTGCTAACATTAAACGCTTCATTAGAAGACTGATAATTTAACTCTCCATTACAACCAGACCCTTCATCAAAGGCAACTAAAGTTGTAACATAAGAAGTGTAAACATTAAGAGCAACAAAGTAATCTAAAACAAGAAAATAAGGATTACGATTTGCTTCTACCACAGGATTAATCAAAATAGACCCTACAGCATATGAAGTTAAAAATCCATCAAAAGCAATAACAGTATAAGAGATCACATCACTAACTTTAGAACTGAGAAATCCATTCAACTCAACAAAAAAAACACCATTATCAACATTCCGTGCAGTAAGAGAAAAATTACTGCAACAATCAATAATGTTCACAGAAATATTATCATTGTCATAATCAGTAACATTAAAAAAAGTTATAATAAAATTATTGTACATCCCTTCAGAAACAAAAACTGGGGTAATAGAAGAAAGGACAGGAACAGGCTTGTTCAAACCAAAAGAAAGGCACTCAGAATCGCAACGAGTCACGTTTATATTCACTGATGTCGAAACCAAATTAACGCCATCTGACACCGTAACAGACAAGTTGTAAAAGCTTTTCTTAGTGTAATTCAGTGTTTTCATCAACTTAACTACTCCAGAAGATGCATCAATAACAAACTTATTATCACTGTTTGAAAACGGATCAATAGCATATGCCAAGATAGCATTGTCATCAACATCTGGATCAAAACCTTCAACAGTGACAACAAACGATCCAATAAAAGCATCTTCACGAATTTCAACGTAATAACTCTCATCTAGAGTCATCGGTGGTTCATTCACGTTAAGTACAAAAATCGATCCTTCAGCAACGGCCATCAGGTTTCCATCAGAAGCTTCAACAAGATAGTGCACTATATCTCCATTTTCAAAATTTAGATTTCCTGTAAGTTCAACCAAAAACACGTTGCTGTAACTGTTCAGTCGCTTCACTGTTAAGTTCAAATTGCTACCGAAATCATAAACATTGACAGATAAAGTAACGTTCTCATAATCTGTAACTGTAAAATTGGTTAAATAATAGCTCCTGTATACTCCTTCCAAGATATTAACTGGAGGAATAGAAGAAAGGACAGGAACAGGCTTGTTCAAACCAAAAGAAAGGCACTCAGAATCGCAACGAGTCACGTTTATATTCACTGATGTCGAAACCAAATTAACGCCATCTGACACCGTAACAGACAAGTTGTAAAAGCTTTTCTTAGTGTAATTCAGTGTTTTCATCAACTTAACTACTCCAGAAGATGCATCAATAACAAACTTATTATCACTGTTTGAAAACGGATCAATAGCATATGCCAAGATAGCATTGTCATCAACATCTGGATCAAAACCTTCAACAGTGACAACAAACGATCCAATAAAAGCATCTTCACGAATTTCAACGTAATAACTCTCATCTAGAGTCATCGGTGGTTCATTCACGTTAAGTACAAAAATCGATCCTTCAGCAACGGCCATCAGGTTTCCATCAGAAGCTTCAACAAGATAGTGCACTATATCTCCATTTTCAAAATTTAGATTTCCTGTAAGTTCAACCAAAAACACGTTGCTGTAACTGTTCAGTCGCTTCACTGTTAAGTTCAAATTGCTACCGAAATCATAAACATTGACAGATAAAGTAACGTTCTCATAATCTGTAACTGTAAAATTGGTTAAATAATAGCTCCTGTATACTCCTTCCAAGATATTAACTGGAGGAATAGAAGAAAGGACAGGAACAGGCTTGTTCAAACCAAAAGAAAGGCACTCAGAATCGCAACGAGTCACGTTTATATTCACTGATGTCGAAACCAAATTAACGCCATCTGACACCGTAACAGACAAGTTGTAAAAGCTTTTCTTAGTGTAATTCAGTGTTTTCATCAACTTAACTACTCCAGAAGATGCATCAATAACAAACTTATTATCACTGTTTGAAAACGGATCAATAGCATATGCCAAGATAGCATTGTCATCAACATCTGGATCAAAACCTTCAACAGTGACAACAAACGATCCAATAAAAGCATCTTCACGAATTTCAACGTAATAACTCTCATCTAGAGTCATCGGTGGTTCATTCACGTTAAGTACAAAAATCGATCCTTCAGCAACGGCCATCAGGTTTCCATCAGAAGCTTCAACAAGATAGTGCACTATATCTCCATTTTCAAAATTTAGATTTCCTGTAAGTTCAACCAAAAACACGTTGCTGTAACTGTTCAGTCGCTTCACTGTTAAGTTCAAATTGCTACCGAAATCATAAACATTGACAGATAAAGTAACGTTCTCATAATCTGTAACTGTAAAATTGGTTAAATAATAGCTCCTGTATACTCCTTCCAAGATATTAACTGGAGGAATAGAAGAAAGGACAGGAACAGGCTTGTTCAAACCAAAAGAAAGGCACTCAGAATCGCAACGAGTCACGTTTATATTCACTGATGTCGAAACCAAATTAACGCCATCTGACACCGTAACAGACAAGTTGTAAAAGCTTTTCTTAGTGTAATTCAGTGTTTTCATCAACTTAACTACTCCAGAAGATGCATCAATAACAAACTTATTATCACTGTTTGAAAACGGATCAATAGCATATGCCAAGATAGCATTGTCATCAACATCTGGATCAAAACCTTCAACAGTGACAACAAACGATCCAATAAAAGCATCTTCACGAATTTCAACGTAATAACTCTCATCTAGAGTCATCGGTGGTTCATTCACGTTAAGTACAAAAATCGATCCTTCAGCAACGGCCATCAGGTTTCCATCAGAAGCTTCAACAAGATAGTGCACTATATCTCCATTTTCAAAATTTAGATTTCCTGTAAGTTCAACCAAAAACACGTTGCTGTAACTGTTCAGTCGCTTCACTGTTAAGTTCAAATTGCTACCGAAATCATAAACATTGACAGATAAAGTAACGTTCTCATAATCTGTAACTGTAAAATTGGTTAAATAATAGCTCCTGTATACTCCTTCCAAGATATTAACTGGAGGAATAGAAGAAAGGACAGGAACAGGCTTGTTCAAACCAAAAGAAAGGCACTCAGAATCGCAACGAGTCACGTTTATATTCACTGATGTCGAAACCAAATTAACGCCATCTGACACCGTAACAGACAAGTTGTAAAAGCTTTTCTTAGTGTAATTCAGTGTTTTCATCAACTTAACTACTCCAGAAGATGCATCAATAACAAACTTATTATCACTGTTTGAAAACGGATCAATAGCATATGCCAAGATAGCATTGTCATCAACATCTGGATCAAAACCTTCAACAGTGACAACAAACGATCCAATAAAAGCATCTTCACGAATTTCAACGTAATAACTCTCATCTAGAGTCATCGGTGGTTCATTCACGTTAAGTACAAAAATCGATCCTTCAGCAACGGCCATCAGGTTTCCATCAGAAGCTTCAACAAGATAGTGCACTATATCTCCATTTTCAAAATTTAGATTTCCTGTAAGTTCAACCAAAAACACGTTGCTGTAACTGTTCAGTCGCTTCACTGTTAAGTTCAAATTGCTACCGAAATCATAAACATTGACAGATAAAGTAACGTTCTCATAATCTGTAACTGTAAAATTGGTTAAATAATAGCTCCTGTATACTCCTTCCAAGATATTAACTGGAGGAATAGAAGAAAGGACAGGAACAGGCTTGTTCAAACCAAAAGAAAGGCACTCAGAATCGCAACGAGTCACGTTTATATTCACTGATGTCGAAACCAAATTAACGCCATCTGACACCGTAACAGACAAGTTGTAAAAGCTTTTCTTAGTGTAATTCAGTGTTTTCATCAACTTAACTACTCCAGAAGATGCATCAATAACAAACTTATTATCACTGTTTGAAAACGGATCAATAGCATATGCCAAGATAGCATTGTCATCAACATCTGGATCAAAACCTTCAACAGTGACAACAAACGATCCAATAAAAGCATCTTCACGAATTTCAACGTAATAACTCTCATCTAGAGTCATCGGTGGTTCATTCACGTTAAGTACAAAAATCGATCCTTCAGCAACGGCCATCAGGTTTCCATCAGAAGCTTCAACAAGATAGTGCACTATATCTCCATTTTCAAAATTTAGATTTCCTGTAAGTTCAACCAAAAACACGTTGCTGTAACTGTTCAGTCGCTTCACTGTTAAGTTCAAATTGCTACCGAAATCATAAACATTGACAGATAAAGTAACGTTCTCATAATCTGTAACTGTAAAATTGGTTAAATAATAGCTCCTGTATACTCCTTCCAAGATATTAACTGGAGGAATAGAAGAAAGGACAGGAACAGGCTTGTTCAAACCAAAAGAAAGGCACTCAGAATCGCAACGAGTCACGTTTATATTCACTGATGTCGAAACCAAATTAACGCCATCTGACACCGTAACAGACAAGTTGTAAAAGCTTTTCTTAGTGTAATTCAGTGTTTTCATCAACTTAACTACTCCAGAAGATGCATCAATAACAAACTTATTATCACTGTTTGAAAACGGATCAATAGCATATGCCAAGATAGCATTGTCATCAACATCTGGATCAAAACCTTCAACAGTGACAACAAACGATCCAATAAAAGCATCTTCACGAATTTCAACGTAATAACTCTCATCTAGAGTCATCGGTGGTTCATTCACGTTAAGTACAAAAATCGATCCTTCAGCAACGGCCATCAGGTTTCCATCAGAAGCTTCAACAAGATAGTGCACTATATCTCCATTTTCAAAATTTAGATTTCCTGTAAGTTCAACCAAAAACACGTTGCTGTAACTGTTCAGTCGCTTCACTGTTAAGTTCAAATTGCTACCGAAATCATAAACATTGACAGATAAAGTAACGTTCTCATAATCTGTAACTGTAAAATTGGTTAAATAATAGCTCCTGTATACTCCTTCCAAGATATTAACTGGAGGAATAGAAGAAAGGACAGGAACAGGCTTGTTCAAACCAAAAGAAAGGCACTCAGAATCGCAACGAGTCACGTTTATATTCACTGATGTCGAAACCAAATTAACGCCATCTGACACCGTAACAGACAAGTTGTAAAAGCTTTTCTTAGTGTAATTCAGTGTTTTCATCAACTTAACTACTCCAGAAGATGCATCAATAACAAACTTATTATCACTGTTTGAAAACGGATCAATAGCATATGCCAAGATAGCATTGTCATCAACATCTGGATCAAAACCTTCAACAGTGACAACAAACGATCCAATAAAAGCATCTTCACGAATTTCAACGTAATAACTCTCATCTAGAGTCATCGGTGGTTCATTCACGTTAAGTACAAAAATCGATCCTTCAGCAACGGCCATCAGGTTTCCATCAGAAGCTTCAACAAGATAGTGCACTATATCTCCATTTTCAAAATTTAGATTTCCTGTAAGTTCAACCAAAAACACGTTGCTGTAACTGTTCAGTCGCTTCACTGTTAAGTTCAAATTGCTACCGAAATCATAAACATTGACAGATAAAGTAACGTTCTCATAATCTGTAACTGTAAAATTGGTTAAATAATAGCTCCTGTATACTCCTTCCAAGATATTAACTGGAGGAATAGAAGAAAGGACAGGAACAGGCTTGTTCAAACCAAAAGAAAGGCACTCAGAATCGCAACGAGTCACGTTTATATTCACTGATGTCGAAACCAAATTAACGCCATCTGACACCGTAACAGACAAGTTGTAAAAGCTTTTCTTAGTGTAATTCAGTGTTTTCATCAACTTAACTACTCCAGAAGATGCATCAATAACAAACTTATTATCACTGTTTGAAAACGGATCAATAGCATATGCCAAGATAGCATTGTCATCAACATCTGGATCAAAACCTTCAACAGTGACAACAAACGATCCAATAAAAGCATCTTCACGAATTTCAACGTAATAACTCTCATCTAGAGTCATCGGTGGTTCATTCACGTTAAGTACAAAAATCGATCCTTCAGCAACGGCCATCAGGTTTCCATCAGAAGCTTCAACAAGATAGTGCACTATATCTCCATTTTCAAAATTTAGATTTCCTGTAAGTTCAACCAAAAACACGTTGCTGTAACTGTTCAGTCGCTTCACTGTTAAGTTCAAATTGCTACCGAAATCATAAACATTGACAGATAAAGTAACGTTCTCATAATCTGTAACTGTAAAATTGGTTAAATAATAGCTCCTGTATACTCCTTCCAAGATATTAACTGGAGGAATAGAAGAAAGGACAGGAACAGGCTTGTTCAAACCAAAAGAAAGGCACTCAGAATCGCAACGAGTCACGTTTATATTCACTGATGTCGAAACCAAATTAACGCCATCTGACACCGTAACAGACAAGTTGTAAAAGCTTTTCTTAGTGTAATTCAGTGTTTTCATCAACTTAACTACTCCAGAAGATGCATCAATAACAAACTTATTATCACTGTTTGAAAACGGATCAATAGCATATGCCAAGATAGCATTGTCATCAACATCTGGATCAAAACCTTCAACAGTGACAACAAACGATCCAATAAAAGCATCTTCACGAATTTCAACGTAATAACTCTCATCTAGAGTCATCGGTGGTTCATTCACGTTAAGTACAAAAATCGATCCTTCAGCAACGGCCATCAGGTTTCCATCAGAAGCTTCAACAAGATAGTGCACTATATCTCCATTTTCAAAATTTAGATTTCCTGTAAGTTCAACCAAAAACACGTTGCTGTAACTGTTCAGTCGCTTCACTGTTAAGTTCAAATTGCTACCGAAATCATAAACATTGACAGATAAAGTAACGTTCTCATAATCTGTAACTGTAAAATTGGTTAAATAATAGCTCCTGTATACTCCTTCCAAGATATTAACTGGAGGAATAGAAGAAAGGACAGGAACAGGCTTGTTCAAACCAAAAGAAAGGCACTCAGAATCGCAACGAGTCACGTTTATATTCACTGATGTCGAAACCAAATTAACGCCATCTGACACCGTAACAGACAAGTTGTAAAAGCTTTTCTTAGTGTAATTCAGTGTTTTCATCAACTTAACTACTCCAGAAGATGCATCAATAACAAACTTATTATCACTGTTTGAAAACGGATCAATAGCATATGCCAAGATAGCATTGTCATCAACATCTGGATCAAAACCTTCAACAGTGACAACAAACGATCCAATAAAAGCATCTTCACGAATTTCAACGTAATAACTCTCATCTAGAGTCATCGGTGGTTCATTCACGTTAAGTACAAAAATCGATCCTTCAGCAACGGCCATCAGGTTTCCATCAGAAGCTTCAACAAGATAGTGCACTATATCTCCATTTTCAAAATTTAGATTTCCTGTAAGTTCAACCAAAAACACGTTGCTGTAACTGTTCAGTCGCTTCACTGTTAAGTTCAAATTGCTACCGAAATCATAAACATTGACAGATAAAGTAACGTTCTCATAATCTGTAACTGTAAAATTGGTTAAATAATAGCTCCTGTATACTCCTTCCAAGATATTAACTGGAGGAATAGAAGAAAGGACAGGAACAGGCTTGTTCAAACCAAAAGAAAGGCACTCAGAATCGCAACGAGTCACGTTTATATTCACTGATGTCGAAACCAAATTAACGCCATCTGACACCGTAACAGACAAGTTGTAAAAGCTTTTCTTAGTGTAATTCAGTGTTTTCATCAACTTAACTACTCCAGAAGATGCATCAATAACAAACTTATTATCACTGTTTGAAAACGGATCAATAGCATATGCCAAGATAGCATTGTCATCAACATCTGGATCAAAACCTTCAACAGTGACAACAAACGATCCAATAAAAGCATCTTCACGAATTTCAACGTAATAACTCTCATCTAGAGTCATCGGTGGTTCATTCACGTTAAGTACAAAAATCGATCCTTCAGCAACGGCCATCAGGTTTCCATCAGAAGCTTCAACAAGATAGTGCACTATATCTCCATTTTCAAAATTTAGATTTCCTGTAAGTTCAACCAAAAACACGTTGCTGTAACTGTTCAGTCGCTTCACTGTTAAGTTCAAATTGCTACCGAAATCATAAACATTGACAGATAAAGTAACGTTCTCATAATCTGTAACTGTAAAATTGGTTAAATAATAGCTCCTGTATACTCCTTCCAAGATATTAACTGGAGGAATAGAAGAAAGGACAGGAACAGGCTTGTTCAAACCAAAAGAAAGGCACTCAGAATCGCAACGAGTCACGTTTATATTCACTGATGTCGAAACCAAATTAACGCCATCTGACACCGTAACAGACAAGTTGTAAAAGCTTTTCTTAGTGTAATTCAGTGTTTTCATCAACTTAACTACTCCAGAAGATGCATCAATAACAAACTTATTATCACTGTTTGAAAACGGATCAATAGCATATGCCAAGATAGCATTGTCATCAACATCTGGATCAAAACCTTCAACAGTGACAACAAACGATCCAATAAAAGCATCTTCACGAATTTCAACGTAATAACTCTCATCTAGAGTCATCGGTGGTTCATTCACGTTAAGTACAAAAATCGATCCTTCAGCAACGGCCATCAGGTTTCCATCAGAAGCTTCAACAAGATAGTGCACTATATCTCCATTTTCAAAATTTAGATTTCCTGTAAGTTCAACCAAAAACACGTTGCTGTAACTGTTCAGTCGCTTCACTGTTAAGTTCAAATTGCTACCGAAATCATAAACATTGACAGATAAAGTAACGTTCTCATAATCTGTAACTGTAAAATTGGTTAAATAATAGCTCCTGTATACTCCTTCCAAGATATTAACTGGAGGAATAGAAGAAAGGACAGGAACAGGCTTGTTCAAACCAAAAGAAAGGCACTCAGAATCGCAACGAGTCACGTTTATATTCACTGATGTCGAAACCAAATTAACGCCATCTGACACCGTAACAGACAAGTTGTAAAAGCTTTTCTTAGTGTAATTCAGTGTTTTCATCAACTTAACTACTCCAGAAGATGCATCAATAACAAACTTATTATCACTGTTTGAAAACGGATCAATAGCATATGCCAAGATAGCATTGTCATCAACATCTGGATCAAAACCTTCAACAGTGACAACAAACGATCCAATAAAAGCATCTTCACGAATTTCAACGTAATAACTCTCATCTAGAGTCATCGGTGGTTCATTCACGTTAAGTACAAAAATCGATCCTTCAGCAACGGCCATCAGGTTTCCATCAGAAGCTTCAACAAGATAGTGCACTATATCTCCATTTTCAAAATTTAGATTTCCTGTAAGTTCAACCAAAAACACGTTGCTGTAACTGTTCAGTCGCTTCACTGTTAAGTTCAAATTGCTACCGAAATCATAAACATTGACAGATAAAGTAACGTTCTCATAATCTGTAACTGTAAAATTGGTTAAATAATAGCTCCTGTATACTCCTTCCAAGATATTAACTGGAGGAATAGAAGAAAGGACAGGAACAGGCTTGTTCAAACCAAAAGAAAGGCACTCAGAATCGCAACGAGTCACGTTTATATTCACTGATGTCGAAACCAAATTAACGCCATCTGACACCGTAACAGACAAGTTGTAAAAGCTTTTCTTAGTGTAATTCAGTGTTTTCATCAACTTAACTACTCCAGAAGATGCATCAATAACAAACTTATTATCACTGTTTGAAAACGGATCAATAGCATATGCCAAGATAGCATTGTCATCAACATCTGGATCAAAACCTTCAACAGTGACAACAAACGATCCAATAAAAGCATCTTCACGAATTTCAACGTAATAACTCTCATCTAGAGTCATCGGTGGTTCATTCACGTTAAGTACAAAAATCGATCCTTCAGCAACGGCCATCAGGTTTCCATCAGAAGCTTCAACAAGATAGTGCACTATATCTCCATTTTCAAAATTTAGATTTCCTGTAAGTTCAACCAAAAACACGTTGCTGTAACTGTTCAGTCGCTTCACTGTTAAGTTCAAATTGCTACCGAAATCATAAACATTGACAGATAAAGTAACGTTCTCATAATCTGTAACTGTAAAATTGGTTAAATAATAGCTCCTGTATACTCCTTCCAAGATATTAACTGGAGGAATAGAAGAAAGGACAGGAACAGGCTTGTTCAAACCAAAAGAAAGGCACTCAGAATCGCAACGAGTCACGTTTATATTCACTGATGTCGAAACCAAATTAACGCCATCTGACACCGTAACAGACAAGTTGTAAAAGCTTTTCTTAGTGTAATTCAGTGTTTTCATCAACTTAACTACTCCAGAAGATGCATCAATAACAAACTTATTATCACTGTTTGAAAACGGATCAATAGCATATGCCAAGATAGCATTGTCATCAACATCTGGATCAAAACCTTCAACAGTGACAACAAACGATCCAATAAAAGCATCTTCACGAATTTCAACGTAATAACTCTCATCTAGAGTCATCGGTGGTTCATTCACGTTAAGTACAAAAATCGATCCTTCAGCAACGGCCATCAGGTTTCCATCAGAAGCTTCAACAAGATAGTGCACTATATCTCCATTTTCAAAATTTAGATTTCCTGTAAGTTCAACCAAAAACACGTTGCTGTAACTGTTCAGTCGCTTCACTGTTAAGTTCAAATTGCTACCGAAATCATAAACATTGACAGATAAAGTAACGTTCTCATAATCTGTAACTGTAAAATTGGTTAAATAATAGCTCCTGTATACTCCTTCCAAGATATTAACTGGAGGAATAGAAGAAAGGACAGGAACAGGCTTGTTCAAACCAAAAGAAAGGCACTCAGAATCGCAACGAGTCACGTTTATATTCACTGATGTCGAAACCAAATTAACGCCATCTGACACCGTAACAGACAAGTTGTAAAAGCTTTTCTTAGTGTAATTCAGTGTTTTCATCAACTTAACTACTCCAGAAGATGCATCAATAACAAACTTATTATCACTGTTTGAAAACGGATCAATAGCATATGCCAAGATAGCATTGTCATCAACATCTGGATCAAAACCTTCAACAGTGACAACAAACGATCCAATAAAAGCATCTTCACGAATTTCAACGTAATAACTCTCATCTAGAGTCATCGGTGGTTCATTCACGTTAAGTACAAAAATCGATCCTTCAGCAACGGCCATCAGGTTTCCATCAGAAGCTTCAACAAGATAGTGCACTATATCTCCATTTTCAAAATTTAGATTTCCTGTAAGTTCAACCAAAAACACGTTGCTGTAACTGTTCAGTCGCTTCACTGTTAAGTTCAAATTGCTACCGAAATCATAAACATTGACAGATAAAGTAACGTTCTCATAATCTGTAACTGTAAAATTGGTTAAATAATAGCTCCTGTATACTCCTTCCAAGATATTAACTGGAGGAATAGAAGAAAGGACAGGAACAGGCTTGTTCAAACCAAAAGAAAGGCACTCAGAATCGCAACGAGTCACGTTTATATTCACTGATGTCGAAACCAAATTAACGCCATCTGACACCGTAACAGACAAGTTGTAAAAGCTTTTCTTAGTGTAATTCAGTGTTTTCATCAACTTAACTACTCCAGAAGATGCATCAATAACAAACTTATTATCACTGTTTGAAAACGGATCAATAGCATATGCCAAGATAGCATTGTCATCAACATCTGGATCAAAACCTTCAACAGTGACAACAAACGATCCAATAAAAGCATCTTCACGAATTTCAACGTAATAACTCTCATCTAGAGTCATCGGTGGTTCATTCACGTTAAGTACAAAAATCGATCCTTCAGCAACGGCCATCAGGTTTCCATCAGAAGCTTCAACAAGATAGTGCACTATATCTCCATTTTCAAAATTTAGATTTCCTGTAAGTTCAACCAAAAACACGTTGCTGTAACTGTTCAGTCGCTTCACTGTTAAGTTCAAATTGCTACCGAAATCATAAACATTGACAGATAAAGTAACGTTCTCATAATCTGTAACTGTAAAATTGGTTAAATAATAGCTCCTGTATACTCCTTCCAAGATATTAACTGGAGGAATAGAAGAAAGGACAGGAACAGGCTTGTTCAAACCAAAAGAAAGGCACTCAGAATCGCAACGAGTCACGTTTATATTCACTGATGTCGAAACCAAATTAACGCCATCTGACACCGTAACAGACAAGTTGTAAAAGCTTTTCTTAGTGTAATTCAGTGTTTTCATCAACTTAACTACTCCAGAAGATGCATCAATAACAAACTTATTATCACTGTTTGAAAACGGATCAATAGCATATGCCAAGATAGCATTGTCATCAACATCTGGATCAAAACCTTCAACAGTGACAACAAACGATCCAATAAAAGCATCTTCACGAATTTCAACGTAATAACTCTCATCTAGAGTCATCGGTGGTTCATTCACGTTAAGTACAAAAATCGATCCTTCAGCAACGGCCATCAGGTTTCCATCAGAAGCTTCAACAAGATAGTGCACTATATCTCCATTTTCAAAATTTAGATTTCCTGTAAGTTCAACCAAAAACACGTTGCTGTAACTGTTCAGTCGCTTCACTGTTAAGTTCAAATTGCTACCGAAATCATAAACATTGACAGATAAAGTAACGTTCTCATAATCTGTAACTGTAAAATTGGTTAAATAATAGCTCCTGTATACTCCTTCCAAGATATTAACTGGAG